GGCCGAATATTAAAGACACTTTTTAGCCATTTACCGTTTAAAAGTTGAACCAAACAAATAACACAGGCCTTAGAACAAGAGTGGGCAAATATAAAGCATTACCCAAACATGTATTGCCGATTAATTCAGTATTTGGCGTAGCTTGCATGCCATTGTATGCGCATAAAATTAATTCTGTGAATCACCCAATCTTTGCACAATAGACTCGATGCTAGGGAATACAGCCAATACTGAAATGAAATCCTCTATTGTACATGTCGATTGTCCTATAATCGAACACAAGTGGAGAACAAAGAAGACATTTCTGAGCCCCATTATTCCAATGGGGCAGCATGTGGAGTCTATTTCGACATTTCTGAAAACGGGTGAATCTAAAGGTTTAGTAGAACCAAAAAAGCCGAACATACTTTCTGTCTGAAAGACGGAAATAAAGGGTTTGCTTACAAAATTTCCTTATGTCGATGCCTCTTTTGAGCATCATACGGCAATATTCTATCCGACTCCTAAGGCATCTCTGTAGACTTTCCAAAGTTTTGATGGTATTGTACTCAGTTTGTCGAATTCTTAATAAAATTACTGTCTCTACGGCTGTTTTGGATCAGGACTGTCTTGCTTAGCGTCACCTTAATGCCACCAAGCTGGTGAATTAACTGATTTTGGCGGAATTTGAGCCTGCAAAATATGATCTTTAGTGGCTCTAAGAGGGCTGGCTTTTCGAAAGTAGTCAATCTTATTTGTTATATTGTTTTCACAGTCTGCCCTTCAAATCGACGCAAAGCAGAGGCAAGTGACTGCAACATTCAGCAAGACAACGGCGTCTACCGTTACCAAGAGATCCAATGGAATGAGTTAGTCAACTGCCGCTGCCTGACGAGGAGTAAACGGGTCCTACGGCTCTGTTATTGCAGACCTCCCTTCAAGACAACCCAATGCTTCGAGAACACCAACGAGGTGACCCGAGAGACACGCTTTGTGCAAGTTGACAACAAATGCCTGCCCGATCAAAGCGCAGTCACCAAAGAGATACGTAAGTAGCTGGGGAAATCATATTTTATCTACTCCTCCAGTCGCCGAAAAGAGACACGAGTACAACCCACAAGAAATCATCCTGATTTCAAGATAGACCCCCACCACCTGCTCATTTGCAACCTAATTTTGTGGGGCTGTTGAGGCACTTTGTAGTGTTGTTAATACATAGAATTGCAAGCGGCCGCCACTCTTGGCTCATGGATTTTCGTGAGTTTGCTTTAAACAAGAGCTTCCCGCTCTTACCATGTTTCATAATAGTTTTATCGGAGTCCGACTATGCCGCGCCAAGTAATACTACATTCAAATACGAACGTTGTTATATTAATATTGTGAATATAATCAGTATTTATTTATAATCATTCAATCAAGAATAATAATAAAAGGATGTTCGTTTAATTTTGCCACAATGATATGATTTGAAATTCATCTAGATGTGACTATTTTTTGAGATTTTTAGCAATTTTTAAATGAAAACTTGATGATCTTGGAAAACGGGACCTCGTAAATGTAGTAGCAAATACAAGCTTGCCACCTATTCAATCAGCATCTTTAAATATTGTTTAAAAGGGATCCAGCTTAACTCGATAAATCGCAAACCCCGGATCATTTTGAGGATTTATAATGAAGCTCTACTTGAACCAAATGACTCTGCTTCGAATCCCGTTGGAGATGGTGATGGTACCGAAGTTGCTCATTCGCATTAAGAAATCCTTTGGAAGGCAGGGATAAGTGGAATCCAATGACATCAAACAGCTTACCTATATTTTTTGTGGGAAATGTAACCATAAGTCCTTACATTCCCTTAAACGAACAAGGCTTACTTGAGTCCTTGTTGAAATAACCATAAGTCAGGTTGATTCGATAGGAGTCATACGAATTGCCAAATCTGTGGTAGTTATGGGATATTTCGCGATGTTGCGGATATGCTGGTTAGAAAGAAATCATCAGGCATGTGTGAGAGCAGTCCAGGGCGTTTTCTACATGTGCAGAAGATATAACTGTCGAAGTATGATACAACTGCGTACAAAATAAAGGTCTAAGTAGTTTGTGGGAGCCAGATCATGTCTGTCTGTATATTTCCCAATAAAGGATATCTACCCCGGCTCAAAAACCCACATGTTCAACTTCAATGATAATAAATTTATTTTACCTTTAGAAGTTTCCATTTAAAAAGTTTACTTTCAGCAAGCACCGGCATATTCATTGCTTTTTAGTCTCAGCTCACTTGGCCACGTCTAAATTGATGATATGCTTAAGATAAGCGATAGCCTTGAAACTATCAGTCATTCTTTATTAGTTGCTTATGATGATTTGAATAGTGAAAGTAAAGTTTTTTCCGACAATCATATCAATAGACCATACAATGCAGTTGAATTTCACTTGGTTTTGACGTCGTCACGGTGAATTTCGGCTTTGCCTCATCCAAAGCATATATTTTGTTGTGATTCCTGATGAGGCTATCTTATGTTTGCTATAAATAAACTGCTGGAATCAGCAGCAGAATCCAAATTTCTTTGAGCCATCACTGCGGGTTTCGTGCATAAGCGAACACAAACATGCACATTAAAACACAAAGACAGACACACTCACATGCATCGAAGTTGACATATGACCTTAACTAACCAAATCACTTTATACCTCATCAAAGAGGCTAGATTTAGAGTATATATACCCCTTTTTATGGATTTGACGGTGGGTTTTCTTGACTAGTTAGCTTGAATTTTGTTGTGATGATGTCCGTCATATGACGGACGTGAGTTTAGCACCTTTTTACCAAAATCGAAGGAGATTGCCTCGGAAACAGCGTCAGCATGAATCTTTCAGTAAAGCCAATCGACAGCT